AGGCCTTGCGTTCCACCCCCAGCGCTGCAAGAAAACACAGCCAAACAAATCAAAAATAGGATTAATCAGAACCTACCTCCTGGCTGCCGTGTGTGCAAAATGAACTGTGTTCTGTCTTGTTGGTGAAGTGCTGGGCACAGGCTGGGGTGGAGGGGCCTTGGTAAGTGTGACTGCCCTCCGTTCTCATCACCCAGACAACACGCACGTGGCAAGTGCAAGTGTGGGTTGAATTACTGAACGTGCAACAGGGGTTATGTGCTCACAAAACATTCCCATTTTGCAGGTGGAAAAATAGAGGCTCAATCATTTACCCAAGACCCCACAGAGCCAGCCTTGCATTCCTTTGTCTCCTTGCCCCATCCAGCAGCTTGGATTGGGAGGGAGTCCTGCTCTGGACAGAGCCCAGGCTTTACATTCCAGATATTCTGCCTATGCCCAGCCTCAGGGAGCAGCCAGGCTGGGAGAGAAGGGGCCAGACTGCTGGGATCAGAGAGCGGTGGTGGGCACAGCGGGGGAGCCAGGACGGTTGCAGAGGCTCAGTGTCGGGTCTTTACTTATTTTCATGTGCTGGGGGTGGAGCTGGAGCCTCAGGAAGCTTGGCAAGCGCTCTGCCACCGAGCCACCCTGTCCGATCTGGACCTGAGCTGGGATGAGGAACCTCCGGAGGTGGGGGGCGTGCAGAGTCCTGGAGAGACTTTCACAGAGACCATACGCAACTTCTCCCTCCGCCGTTTACCTTGCAAAGCCAGGCTTGGCCGGGAAGAGAATCATAAGTCTGCAGCTGTGTCACAATATTGATCAATCACCGTGCAAAAAAGCATTTCGCAATCCCTGGGTAGTCCCCGAGTCTCTCTGTGTCTGTTGTTTGTTGGGTTCGGGGTGCTTCTCTTTCTGTAGGACTTGGACATGCGCACAGGCTGGGCGGGAACTACGTGGGCCACCAACCCGGGCTGGGTATTTCCTGAGTGCAGAAGATAAATTGGGCCAGGAATGCTGATGCCCACCTGTAATCCCAGCTCTTAGGAGGCTGAGGCAGGACAATCACTGTACTTGGAGTTCAAGGTCAGCCTACAACCAAAAATAAATAAATAAAGAGAGAGAGAGAGACATGAGGGATTCCCTTTCCCTTTTCCGCCCTGCCTCAGCTCACCAGCAAAGCTGCTCTCCCGTCTCAGCACTAGGGCACAGCCCTCTGACCCAGAGGCCATGGAGGGCACCCAGTTTGTGGAAAGTAAGGCCTTCAAGGAAGGGCGACTGGTGAGGCTGGGCAGGGTGCTGGGATGGACAGGGAGGGCGTCACACAGTCTAACCGACAGCATCACGTAACTAGGTCACAGGCATTTTCAGGTGCAAGCCTGTCACCTTGACCCCGCCCACTCCTCGGCCCCACATCCTGTGGGCCCTTGCACAGAATTTCTTAAACCTGGCCCCTCCCTTCGCTTCCTTGGGGCCCTGTCCCTTCTGAAACCTCACCCCACCCTTCCCTGAATTGCAACAACCGTCCAGTATGCGCACGTGTGTGTTTGCACTCACTCGCACACACACGCACACACCTCCCCACCTAGCAGCAAAATGACCTGTTTTTAATTTTTTTTGGTTTTTCTCCGGTACCAGGAACTGAACTCACGACCTTGTGCTTGCCAGGCAGGCGCTTTTGCCGCTGAGCTAAATCCCCAGCCCCTGACCTGTTTTTTAAAGTGAATGCGTTTTTAACTGAATGACTAGTGATGAAAAGAAAAATAATTAAAACAACACAAAAGGGAGAAAAGTCAGTTTCTCTTGAAAAATCCCTGCCCACCTTTTTGGAGGTCTGTGTGTTTGTCTGTCTGTTTTTGCAGTGCTGGGGTCCTAATGCCATGCATGCTAGGCAAGCGCTCTACCACTGAGCTACACCCTCAGCCATGTTTCTCTTTGGTTTTGTTTGTAGTACTGGGGCTCAAGCCAGGGGCTATACCACTCAGCTACAGTCCCAGTCTCCCGCTTTTTTGCCTTTAAAGACCAGACTCTCTAAAGAACTTTATTCTGAAACAATTTCAAATTTTCACAAATGTAATAATAGCACAAAGAACTTCCATATACATATTACAGAAAATTCCCCAACTATTAACACTCAGTACATCTGGTTTCTTATTTTGCTATAAAGAGACATGTATGTATATAGGCACACACAGATACCTAATCATCTGCAAGGACATGTTCTTAAACTATTTCAAAAAAAGTAGTAGATATTATGCTCTTTATCACTAAATATATCAGTGTTTGCTAACAATAAAGACATTCTTTCATATAACCAGGGAAAATAACCAGTAAAGTTAACAATGGTACAAATTGTATCAAACCTCCTACAAACTTTGAGACCTGTCCCAATAATGATCTTCACAGGGATTTTTTTTTTTCCCCTAGTCTATAACCCAATACGGTTTTAAGTATTACGTTTAGTTTTCTTAAAATCTGATTTAAAATTTTGTAGGCTTTATAATTTTCAGTTTGTCTCAAAGCTCTTACAAATAATAGATTTTTATTCTTATTATTATCTTTGAAATCTCCACAGGTTCTCTTTTTCCTGTTTTTTCTTCCATAAAAGGTTGAAAGCTACTTAGAGAAATGGTTGATTCCAGGGCTAGAGTCAGGAAGCTAGATTATTAGCACAATATACTGCAATCTTGTAGTTGCAGAATGTAAGAGAAGGCTCAAAATACTGAAGTGGACTTTCCAAAAGAAGCTAGAAACCAGTTTGAAGGGGTTTTGGCCAAATGTAGCCAAATCTGGGACAAGGTAAATACCAAAATAAATCTGAAACGTAATGGATTACAGCCCATCATATAGAATAGGAAAACAGAGGGGCTGGGGATTTAGCTCAGTGGCACAGTGCCTGCCCGGCAAGTGCAAGGTCGTGAGTTCGATTCCCGGTACCAGGAAAAAAAAAAAAGAATAGGAAAGCACAAGTCCACAGTAATAAACAACTAGGGGTAAAGAGGGTAAAAGGACAGCATTTTCTTAAACTGTAATGATGACTTAAAATTACACAGAAGTGAAAGAATTAGAAAAACCACAATTTTGTCAGCTGGGTGTGGTGACACACTTGTCATCCCAGGTACTCAGGCCCAGCCAGCCCTTCTCTAAATTTTTAAAATTTGATAACAGGACTAGCCAGGCATGGTGGCACATGCCTGTAATCCCAGCACTCGGGAGGCTGAGGCAGGAGATTGTTGCGAGTTCAAGACCAGCCTGGGCTACAAAGTGAGCTCAAGGCAGCCTGAACTGCACAGCGAGACCACGTCTCAAAAAGACAAAAAAAAAAAAGAATTGATACAGGGCCTCATTAAGTTGTCTAGGCAGGACCTGAACTCGCCACCCTCCTAGTTCAGCCTCCCTAAGCGCTCATAGGCATGTGCCAGCATTCCTGGATGACTTTTTCTTTCGTTGTTTGGTTTGGTTCGGTTCAGTTCGGTTCGGTTTTGCATTGAGGATTGATCCAAGAGCCCAAGTGTGCTAAGTAAATGTTTTTCCCCAGTTTTGTTTTAATGGCTTTCCTTGAACACCATCTCCATATATAGCCCAGGCTGGCCTCCCACTCACAACCCTCCTGCTGTAACCTCCTGAGTGCCGGGGTTACAGGCATGCACGTCCATGTCTGGCTCTTCCCTGATTTTTCACTGTCTCCTCCTAACCATCTTCACTGCATACAGAAGCACACAAGTGCTTATAAAGTCTACAGCGACCTAAGACTCAGCGAGTACCTCCTTTGGGGCTGAATAATGCAGTCTACAAATCTGATGTCCAAGATCTACTTTACCGTCCACCCCAAAGCTCATCCTCCCAATGACCACTGAGATCACATGCTGTACCTCTCCCTGCTAAAAATTCCCCAGTGGTCACACTAGAAACCCCAGTCATCTCTCCTCCCCACCACAAGGCCCTGTGTGATCCCTCCTGCAGCAAGTTACCTTCTGACCTCCACACCCCACGTTTCTTCTGCCCCAGCAGCACAGGTGTCCTCACTCGTCCTTGGCAAAGACCACCTTGTTCCTCCCTACCTCAGGACATTTGCACCAGCTTCTCAGAGCCCTCTACTGCCCCGTTTTCCACTCCCTCACTCCTCAGCCAGGAGGCGACATCTCAGGTGTCACCTCCTCAGAGGGGCGCTTCTGACCCACGGCTATCGCATCTTTCTCTTTCGTTGTTTTAATTGTTCGGAATAGGACCGAAGATCATATTCTGTGTTTGTTGTCTTACTGTGTTTCCTCATTTTAAGTTGCAAGTCCCCCAAAAGGAGGGATTGCTGTCTGTCCCGCTCACTCCTGGGTCTCCAGCGCCCAGACTGGTACACAGCACACAGTAGGCACTCAGGGAACACGGCCTGCACAGGGGACCTATTTCACCCCCGTAGACACAGGGCTCCGCATCCATTATCAGGGACGCACACCTCTGCAGCCTGAGTTCAACTGCTGATTAAAGCCTAACGGTCAGCCGGAGGTGGTGGCGCACGCCTGTCATCGCAGTACGCAGGAGGCCGAAACAGGGATCGCCACTGAGTTCGAGGCCAGCGGGCTATATAGTGAGTTGAAGCCCAGCCTGAGCTACATGGTGACACCCCGTCTCCAAAAACAAACAAGAAACTCCGAAGAAGCCCTAAAGACCGTCAGTTTGTTTCCTGCGCTTGATTATTACAACGGACCCATTCCAATGGCAGCATTCGGCGCTCTGAAAAATCTGACGACTGCTGCCACTGTCAACTTCCTCCAAAAAGATGGCTCAATCACAGAGAAAGAACAAACCGTGCTGTTTAGTACCCTCCGAGGGTTGGCGATGGAAGGGGACAAAAGCAGATAAGGGTGCCCACTCTGCATACGAGGACATTAGGCCCGGAGAGAGCCCTCATGCCGGATCTTGCGTCCCGCAACTGCCCCCGGCTTGCAGGTCCGCACCTGGTCCACTCTGCGGTCCAGGAGCTCGAGTCTCGGGCCACGCCCCCTCCCCTAGCCTCCGGAGCAGGCTCCGCCCCTGCTCTCGCGAGAGCTAGGAAGCAGAAAATGGCGTCGATGTGAGCACAGGCCGCATGGCGGAGGAAGTCGCCGCCACCTGATCTGGGGCCACTGGAGCGGCAGGAACAAGAGGGCGAGGGGAGTGGAAGATGGTGAGCGCGGCGCCCGGGACGCGGGAGCGGCGGGATTTGGCAGGGAGCTGACCTATCTGCGTGCGCACTCTCCAGCTGACCCCGCCCCCACATATAGGCTCCCGCTGGCCACGGACTGTCAGTCGCCGGGCGTCGGTTTCCCTACTTCCGGGCCGCCCTGGGCTGGGCCCCGCCCACCAGGCTCGGACTCCGCCCCTAACAACATCCGGGCCCTTAGAACCTACAACTTGGTCTGCATAGATCGAGCCCGGCGGGCATATCCTCATCGTCACACGGTCCGCTTCTGTCTCCTCTACTATCTACCTGTCGCCGCTCAGTCCAGAGCTCCGGCTTCCTAGCTTTGGCCCCGCCCTCCTAGTGTTGGGCGCGCCCCCTGCCCTAGTCACGCCCCCTGCCTCGTTTGCACCTTCCTCCTGCCCAAGTTGGAGATGGAGCGATGCTGCCCTCACACCCGTGACTGCCGGCAGATAACCTCTCCTGCGACTTAGGAGGCAGGAACGTGATCCGCCTTGTCTTGCTGGTGACTTCTTAGCAAGCGGGGTGACCGGGTGATAGCTGGGAGCCCAGGATTTACGAGTGCAAGCCCTGAACCCAGACTGGTCTTTTCCGTCTCTTCTATCAGGAGGAGGAACCGTCGGAACCCAGCCCGGACATGCTGTCCCCGGGAGAGCCCAGCTCCAACGAGACCGACAAGGACGTGTTGTCTCCAGTTGTGGCTGCTTCGGCCGCCTCCTCTTCTTCCATGGAGGAGGAGCCTGGCCCGGACAGGGCAGCCACACCCCCGGTGTGGGAATGTGGAGGGCCCGGAGGGACACAGCAGGGTGCCTCCCCAGCCTCAGACAGCTGCCAGCCTGAACCTGGACCCAGCCCTGGCCCGGCCAGCTCCGTCTCCGGGACCAGTGAGGACCTCCGGCCTCCCAAACGACGCCCACCACCAGGTGACGGCAGCAGGAATGAGGGGTACAGAGTGACCTCCGACCTGGGGCTCATCTAGGCAGATGACACCTTCACTGAGCGCCATACCCGCCGGCTGCAATGAATCCAGCCCCTGCCCTCTGGCAGCTGAGGCTGGGGCGGGGCTTGTGTCGAGGCCCGAGGATGGGGGACCCGCAGCGCCAAGGAGGAAGGATCAGTGACCCCACCCCTCTCGTGTCCTGCAGGGACCCAAATACCCTGCTCGAGCCCCGGCTGCTTCCTCAGTTTCCCAAGTGTTCGTGACCTGGCGCAGCACCTTCGAACCCACTGCCCACCCACCCAGTCCTTGGAAGGTAGGGCCGGGGCTGGTGGTGGGGAGGCAGGGCAGGGTGGGAGGCGGGCAGAGCCCCTGGGACCTTCCTTCGCCATCCCACTCCATCCCTCTGCCCTTCACCCCTGCCAGGCAAGCTCTTCCACTGCTCGGCCCTGAGCTGCACAGAGAGCTTCCCGAGCATGCAGGAGCTGGTGGCCCACGGCAAGCTGCATTACAAGCCCAATCGCTACTTCAAGTGAGACCTGGCCCCCCTGTGTGTGGGTCCTGACCGCTCTGTCTTCCTAGTCCGGGGGGGTTGGGCCCGGGTGGGCCTGGCCTCGGGTAAGCCCGGTCCTTCGGGCACAGAGCCCGACCGGAGCCAGTCGAGAAACCCTGCGGGCCGAGCCCCGGAGGGGTGGGGCATGCGTGGTTGCGACTTCGCCCGGCCCGCTGGTGAACTCTCCAGTGGAAAACCAGACTTCCTTCTTCGTCTTCCCAGGGCTGCCAACCGCAGGGATCCGGAAGGGTCGCGACCACCGTAGGGGAGGGCTCCTTAGGTCCAGGCTCCCCGCGTTCGCGCAGCGGACCCCCAGGTAGCAATGGCTAGGGCCCTTCCTCCTAGCCCAGGAGCCTCAGCCCCGCCCTGTGCCCGCCCCCAGGTGTGAGAACTGCCTCCTGCGCTTCCGCACGCACCGCTCGCTCTTCAAGCACCTGCACGTTTGCGCAGAGCACGCGCAGAGCCCGGCCGCGCCGCCGCCCCCCGCCCTGGACAAGGAGCCACCCGCGCCTGAGCGCCCCCCGGAGTCTGACCCCGCGCCGGCGCCCGGCCTGCCGTTCCCGCTGCTCGAGCCCTTCACGACCCCCGCCTCTGCCCCCACTGGGTCCTTCCTACCCTACTTGAACCCTGCGCCCTTTAGCCTAAGCCCCCCACGCCTGCGCCCCTTCCTGGCCGCCGCTCCCGGGCCGCCGGCCTCCAGCGCCGCGGTCTGGAAGAAGAGCCAAGGTGAGCGTGGGGGCGGGGCCGGCGGGGGCGGGGCCGGGCCGGGCCGACCTTGAGCCGCCCCTCTGCTGCAGGTGCTGGCGGCAGTCCCCGAAGACCGCAGGGCGGCTCCGACGCGCCCTCAGGTGCGTGCAGGTGACCAGCAGGGCGGGGTGGAGGGGCGCTCTCTCCCGAGGATGCTGGTCGGGCAGCAGTGCCCGCCCCCTTCCCCGGTGGCCAGAAGCGCCGCCCCTTAAAATACAACATTTTGCCTTTAAAGTCATTGGCCCCTGCGCCTTCCTCTGCGCCGGCTGTCCGCGTAACACTCGCGCCCCGCTGCCCTCGAAGTCGTCCTCCTCCCTGCGGTGGTTCCGGGGTGGGACTGGGGGCTCGCGAGAGGCTCAGTTTTGTGCCCTCGAGGACCCGGGCCGGGAGAAGCGGCCCCGACCCCCACATCGCGTCCCGGGCGCCCCGGAGCGGAAGGGGAGGCGGGAGAGGTCCGGCGCCCACCACCCGTGGCGGACGGGTCCCGCGGGGGCGCGCGGGACTGACCGGCCC